GCAGGGGAGGGCAGTTGGGGGCGATCGGGCTGGCAGGGGAACCGTTAGGCGTCGATCAGGCTGGCAGGGAGCAGTTAGGGAGTGATAAGGTTGGCAGGCAGAAGCGGTTAGGGGCAATCAGGTAGGCAGGCAGGTGAGTGGTTGGGAGCCAGCAGTCCTGGATTGTGAGGGGGCAGTCGGACATCCCTCGAGGGGTCCTAGATTGGAGAGGGTGCAGGCTGAGCTGACACCCCCCCCCCCCAGTGCACGAATTTCATGCACCGGGCCTCTAGTATGTACAGAACATAACTTCTTAAAGGCAGATTATCCCCTATCAACTCTGTAACTTTCTTGCTTACATAGACTGAATTAAAAAAAAAAAATTCTGGTTGGAATAGCTATTAAAATTATCAGGATACTAATATGCCAAAGAAGTCTGTATGGCCTACAGTGTATTAATTAATCATGGACTAACCAGATGGCTTGGTAGTAAACCTGGCAGAAATCCATACAGAATTTCCCTAGTATCACTTTTACAATATCAGTAAAATTAACATATTAAAGCTTTTTTTCAGCTAATAAACTGACTTTTGAAAACTGAAGTTAAAACTTTAAATCTAGTGTACAATTTACCAACTATTACATGCATGGTATTTTACACACACATCTACATTAACATTTTGCACTTTGGTTCAAACAGACATTATGTTTGTTAATTGACATTCTTTCTGTATTAAGGACATGTATATGTATTCATGTACTTGTTATCAGGATATGAAAAAGAAGCAATGAGAAGAACTAAGTTAAAGAAAGTAACACTGGCTTTGAAGGCTCATACCATAGAATCATATAAATCATTTAAAAAGTACCCCTGTTCCTGTCATATTTGCATGATTTAATACAGCAATTATGTCTTAATAATTTATTATTTTTCATGACCTTCTAGCCTAAAGAGTATATTTCTTCTACAAATCAAAAGGAGCAAGAATCTAGGTTGTCACTGTGGAAAGATTATAAAGCATGCTGAACACTGAGTAAAATTAAAGGGGTTAATAAATTAACAGAATGGTATACACAAAAGAAACTTCATTTGAGTCTTCAGATCTTTATTACTGATGTATTCATGAAATATGAACATCTACAAAGTAATTTGTAACTACTCATCCATAATTATTTCTACTTACAACAAAACAGTACTTTCATTTTAGATATGACTAAATAATTCAGAAATCAAGAGCTGATCATGATAATAAAAGGAAATCTCTATAATTACATGTCCTATATCTATGTCTGTGTACTTCCTCACCACTATACAGCTGAAGGATGGGGAATGGAAAACAAGAATATGCCTACCTTCAGATAGTTTTTTTACCTTCCATCACCAAGAAAGAAGCTTTGGGCACAACCCTGTCCTTAACAAATTAGCAAAGATAGAAGTAAACAATTAAATTTTCATTGGCTACAGGAAACTTACCTCAAAATTTCCAAACTTATTTTAAGCATTTGTTATGTACCTGGAACCATTCAAAGTGCTTTACATGTATTATGTGATGCATACTCACATCAACCTAAAGTGAATTAACAAGACTGCTATTTTCAAGTAACAAAATAAAATAACTCAGTCACAGAACTATTGAGGTAAGAGCCAGGATTTATATCTGGCTGGCTTAAGAGCCTACATTTTTCAAGGTACACTTCTGCAAAATGATGGCTTAAATTTCAAACTTGTATAGGAGAATGTAATGACTATTATTTTATTATCCTTGATACTCTGACATTTGGTATTAAGAGAGATTGCTCCTCTCACGGCTAACTTCTAGAGAGAGCAAACTCTTTTTTGATAAGTTTTGTAAAACCTTGAGATATTTTATTAACAACTTACTTGCAATTTTAAGTAAATAAGCTTACATTAAATCCATTTGCCATCATATTTTAAACAATTTTGTTTAAACTATGGTTTGGATTTATCCATAATATACCTTTTTCACCCCATTCCCTACCCTTTACAGTCTACAATTATCTTTTAAGACATTTTGTAGTTAAGAAATCACTAATCATCTAACATAATATAACTATTGTACTACTGAAAACAAAGCAAACTTTATAAAAATATATGGCACCAAACTATAGTGTAAGAAGCTTAAATTTTTTGATAGACACAAGCAATATGAACAAATCTACATTTCTACAATATAAAAGTAACACAAAGTTAGACAAGTTAAGTTTCTAAGCTTCAAGGAACTTTTGATGGTAAAACACAAGATAACGTAAAGGACAACCACCACTTTCCTTTCATAGAGTTAAAGGGTAGAAAAATACCTTTTAATGATGACGTAGCTTAGAATATAAAAAAGTCTCTAAAAGGCTACAAAAAGGAGAATAGAAAGTAAGGGAGATCTAAGTTGGCCTCCACAGTTTAAATACCCATGTCTGTGAATTTTAATCAGTAGGTTGCTACTTACTATGCTTTCTTAAAAGACAGGATTGCATAGCCTTACTCTCAGGCTCTTCTCTGTCAATAATCTCTCAGCAAAGGCAATTTGAGCCTTAGGTGAAGCTGGGCAAAAATATGGCTCCATGCCTTCTGGATCACATCCCTTTGATGAGGGAGACAACATACCCTTAACTGCCTCCACTCTTGACAGCCTCACTACCATTTTCCTCACTGCAGCCAGATGCTATACTTAAAATTAATCTAATTTCTGAGTCTTCTTTACCTAAGACTCTTCAATGAATCCACCCTCACCCAACCATATTCAGCTGCAGTGTAAACTCCTCAACCCAGTGTAGTTCCTTATAAACACATACATAAACTCACTCCTGCCATGTCCCCGCTCCCACTTTACACTCCCAGGACACAAACTAACTTAGAACCCTTCACCAGCCCTTCCCTACCACCACACTCTCAATACCACAGTGCTACTCTGGATGAATTGGGATTCTTCCAACGGAATTCCTCCCTTACATCCATCAAAATTCAATCCAGGCACCAATCTTCCTCCAGAAGAAAACTTTCCACAAGCCACAAAGTAGGCAAAGTTCCCCTCCTTTGGACATAGCTCCCTGAGCAAACATCTTTCATAACACCTACTGCACAAAATTATCTTTTTTTTTTTTTTGTATTTTTAAAGTTTGTCTCCCTTAACAGAAAGTGGCTCAAGTGTAGAAATTATATTTTAACTCCAATGAGGAAGAGCCTATCATATATGTAGTGGCTATTTGAAAAATGTTTACTGAATTGAAATGCTGGACGCTACACAATGAAAACTTAACAAACATAGCTTGACTTATTCTTAGCCAATTCATTAGCAAGTCCTATCAGTTGTAATTCCAAGATACATGCCAAATTCATTCACTTCACATATGCTCAGCCACCGCGCCAGTCCAGCCTGCCGAATCTCATTTAGATTCCTATAATAGCCTCCTAATTTCTCTGCTTCCAGACCCACCACTCATTTTAAAAGACACACACACACACACACACCACAATCCCCACCACCACCATATCCCCAGCAGTCTTTGTAAAAGTGTATGTAAAAAATCCTCTAAAAGTGGATTTAAATTTTAGAAATCCATTAAAATCCTTATATGCTTTCTATTAATTTTATTCTAAAATTCAAACTCCCACAGTGCCCTACAATGCCCTATATGATCTGACTCCTTCCAAGTTTTGTACTCATTCTGTATTACTACAACTCTATGGGGCTCCATTACAATAATTTTCCATCTCAGAGTCTTTACACCAGCTCTTCCCTCTGCCTAGAAGACGCTATCCTCAGCTAGCTTGGTGCTTCTTAAAGCTTAGGTTAAAACATCACAATCCAATCCAAAGCGGCTTTTTTTATCCCTCAATCATTGTCTTTTTTGCACTCATTACCAAATTATATTTTCCACTTATTTATTGTATATATCAATTCCTCAAGAGGGCAGAAACTTGGTGTTTTGTTCATCACTGTATCTCCCTCCATGTGCCTAGAAAAAGTACCTTGCACACATCAGGTACTCATAAGCGTTTGTAAAACAAAAGAATAAAACAAGAAAAATGACTCTTATTTAAGATATACATGAAACAAGGTAAAAAGAAATGAATAAATAATCTACCAAAAAAGAAGGAAACATTCTACTCTTAGTATTTGCAAGTAGATAAGCTGGGTGTTACTGGATCTATTATCAACAAGCACCCAGAGTGTATTTCCAAAAGCTCATTGAAAACATGTCAAGTGGAATGGTTTCATGTGCTATACCCATATGCCAGCCCATGTGCATGACACGGCAAACAATCCTTTTATGCAGACACTCCCAAAAGCCCTGTAACGTACATAAAAAGGAATGAAACACTTAAAAAACACCTACTACATTCTTTAAAAAACAAACAGTATTTCTCACAGTGGTACTTATCTATAAATTATTAAATTGACACTAAAACTTGACCTCTTACTAGATAAGTAATGGGTCCTTTCAATACAAGAGGTAGGTCTTCAAGACATGTCTAACATCTAAGAAGCTGCCTTACATACTGTACTCTTTTAGAAGTAACACTACAACTCAAACAAAATAATACATAAAATTCAACACAATGGTAGTAAATGGTAGTAGCCTCTTTCAACTCCTTTCTGAGTGAAGTTTTAACCAAGGGGGAAGAAATGTGTCTAGCAGTACTGCACCAGAGATAGAAAAGCACTGAATCTTTACTCAAATGTCATTCCATCACAGAAATTAGATAAAACCCATGGAAGCATTTAGGCAACAAAGGCAAATGAAGACAGTGAAGATAAAACTTAATATAATGGAAGTATTTTATTTTGCTTGATTAAACCTCACTGTTCAAGAAAATGACTTGTAAAATAAGTCTAAAGAATACAACAAAATTAATACAACAGACTAAAAAATAGCTGTCCTATTCTAGTAATTACTATTTACAGGTGACTTGAAAGTAACAAAATTTCAATAATTCTCCTTCAGATTCCTTTAAGCAATTTTCAACAGGATGACCATCAAATTTCTGATCTGACAACACTTACCTTGGTATGGTGACACATTTAGTATTACAATTTTGAGTGGTGATAGCTTTCTCAAGCTCATCTAATCGTCCTGTTTTTTTTAGCTTCTTCACCAAACTTTTCACTGCTTTCTCACACCACTTTTCTTCCTGTCCATTCTGCTCTCCTCCACCTGCTCCTCCGGATCCACCGGCTGATTTCTTCCATCCCAGCAGTCTCTTCACAACTGGTGGAGTGAATGGCAAGATGGACGACATATTCTTACTAAAGGCAGCAATCCACACTAAGGAAATAGCCTTCCTTTTCTAACCTAGAAAAGATATGGAAAAGGCATTGAGAGGGGAACTTTAAAATCAAGTAATTACTTCAACATGGTATCAAAAGCAAATTACAAAATGAGAAATTCAAATTACTACTTTCACAACAGATTTTTCAGAAGTTCTCTTCTTTACCCATTAAAATATCTTAACTAATTTTTAAAAATTATGGAAATAGACCCTTTTACAAAAGACACAATGTTATAAGTGAGTAAATATAATAATTTTACAAATAAAATATTTATCAATACTAGACCAGTTAATCACTATTAATACTATATTAGCTTTTAATAGTGTCAATAATCAAAATACTTTCACCAAAAGAAAAGCTTTTTCTCACTTTTTAGAACTTCAATCTAATTTTCAAAACATTTCACAGAAATATTTTTTAAAAATATACAAGCCCACTCTCCCCAAAATTTTGAATTTTCATAACTGACTTGGTATCATGAAACAAAATCTAAAGTTATAAGAAGGGAAAGTGTAAAATATATAACAAGAATCCTATATAATAAAACACTAATATGCAAATTGACCGAATGGCAGAACGACCGGTTGCTATGATGCGCACTGACCACCAGGGGGCAGACGCTCACCGCAGGAGCTGCCCCTGGTGGTCAATACGCTCCCACAGGGGGCACGCAGCTCAGCCAGAAGCTGGGCTCATGGCTGGTGAGCACAGTGGCAGTAGCCTCTCCTGCCTATGAGGCAGTGCTAAGGAGCCACGAGCACGGCTTCTGGCTGAGCAGCGCTCCCACAGGGAGCGCAGCAGCGGTAGCAGGAACCTCTTCCACTTCTGCAGCAGCGCTAAAGGACCTCTCGGGGGATGTCCGCCTGCCGGCTTAGGCCCACTCCCTGCCGAGGGGTCCTGGACTGCATGAGGGTGCATGCCAGGCTGAGGGACTCCCTGACCCCCAGTGCACAATTGCCGTGCACCAGGCCTCTAGTAAAGAAAGAAAGGTAGACAGAGATATAAAGAAAAGGTTTGGGACCTGGCCTGTGTGGTTCAGTGGTTGAGTATCAACCTATGAACTAGGAGGTCACGGTTCCATTCCCAGTCAGTGCACATGCCCTGGGTTGCAGGCTTGATCTCCAGTAGGGGGCGTGCAGGAGGCAGCCGATCAATGATTCTCTCTCATCATTGATGTTTCTATCGCTCCCTCTTTGGTTCACTTTTACATCCCTTGAGAAGATTTTTAATTAAGCTTCTTTTAAAAAATATATTTTCATTTTTAAGTAATAATGTGCATAGTGAGTATAGTCAAATATAATTGCTCTTCTCACACCAAGATACAATTTTTTAAAATCTTAAAACTTTTATTTAATCTTGCTATTTATAACTCAGTATAGTAGTCTCCCTAACCACCCCACTCCAACCCCTCAGACCCAATCTGCAGTTTCACTTTCCAGGACTTCAGTTACCCACAGTCAACAGTAATCCAAAATTATTAGATACATGATTCCAGAAATAAACAATTCATAAATTTTAGGTTGCATGCCATTCTCAGTAGTGTGAGGAAATCTAGCACTGTCCCACTCTATCCCACCCAGGATGTGAATCATCCCTCTCTCCAGAATATCCACAATGAATACTGGCCCACCCCCTGGTCACTTAATAGCTATCTAGGTTATTAGATTGGCTATCAGAAAGAGTGAAAGAGAAAGATAAAGAAACCACATTCATATAACTTTTATTATAACATATTGTTATAATTGTTCTATTTGATTACTTGTTATTATTGTTAATCTCTTACTATGTCTAATTTATAAACTTTATCGTAAGTATTAAGTATGTATAATAGGGGAAGGTAGTACACACACACACACACACACACACACACACACACACACACACGAGGCCCGATGCACAAAATTCGTGCAAGGGGAAGGTCATCTGGACGGTAGTTCTGCTGTTTGGTGTAATCAGCATATTAGCTCTTTATTATATAGGATGGAGAGAGAGAGAGAGAGAGAGAGAGAGAGAGAGAGAGAGAGAGAGAGAGAGAGAGAGAGAAAGAAAGAGAAAGAGAGTTCAGTACTACCTGTGGTTTCAGGCATCCACTGGGGTGGTGGTGGGGGGGTGTCTTAGAATGTATTCCCAATGAATGAGGGGGGCATTACTGTAATAGACTTATAATGGTATCCTTTAAAATATCAAGTTTAGGTATTATCTGTTCATTTTTCAGTGGAAAATGAGGAGTTACACCACAACCACTCACATTCCTCCAACCTTTAAGATAATTAACTCCCAATTGTAGTTCTGTGCCTGATGAGATTAGCAGTAAACTACTACTTAATCATATTTCCCTTTTTGTACAACTCTTTTCCCCCTTGAGTTAATTACCTTAGTTTTTTATTGCTTAGTTTTCTATGTACCTACCACAATTTTTTCCCATACTCTTCACCAGCCCCTCAGTTAAATTTTAATGCTGATGACTTTAATTTCAAAGTAAGAGACAAGATCACTGACCACTTGAGGACAGAACTGAAAAGTTAAGATTTGAGATGGGAAATATTCAGAAACCTAGTTCTGAGAAATACTATAGAAAATCAACTGAAATAAATGTTATCAGGTATTTACCAAACTACACATTAAAAAGTAGTCGATGATGCCCTGGTTCAGTGGTTCTCAACTTTCTGGCCCTTTAAATACAGTTCCTCATGTTGTGACCCAACCATAAAAAATATTTTTGTTGCTACTTCATAACTGTACTGTTGCTACTGTTATGAATCATCATGTAAATATCTGATATGCAGGGTGGTCTTAGGCAAGCCCTGTGAAAGGGTCATTCGACCGCCAAAGGGGTCGCGACCCACAGGTTGAGAACTGCTGCCCTAGTTGGTTTGGCTTAGTGGATAGAGCGTCGGCCTGCAGACCAAAGGGTCCCAGGTTCGATCCCAGTCAAGGGCACATACCTTGGTTGCAGGCTCCTCTGGCCCTGGCCCTGGCCCTGGTCAGAGGCAACTAATCAATGTGTTTTCTCTCACATTGATGTTTTTCTGTCTTTCCCACTAACCCTAATAAAATCAATGGAAAAATATTCTCAGGTGAGGTTTAACAAAAAAACAACAAAACGAAAATATCCATGAGAGGAGTTCCATTCCTAATCAGGTTATAGAAAACTCACAATAGACCATCACTTTAACCCTAATAATCGAAACAAGCCAAATAAGCTACAAAATCATAGTTTTTCTGAACCCATCAGAGAGCTAAGGATGCAAAGCAACCTAAGTGGAATTAACTGACAGAAGAGAGGCACACAGGTGGTCTCTTTCCTGATGGAGGGGCTCAGGAGGAATAGTTCCACCATAAGAGAAACAAGCCTACCTTTAATAAATCTTAATAGTAACATGTAGGCTGACAAGACATATTAGAATTCCACAGATTTCACAGAGCAAATCACTCATTCCCACAGGTCTTCACCAAAGTGCTTAAAAATATGACCAAGATTGAGGGACAGAGCTGGAAAGCTGAGAGAAACTCTAAGAAGCTTATCATCTCCTTCAAATGCAATAAATCTGTCCTCTGATGGGAGGAGAAGTATGGGATGGGCAAAAGTGAAAACAAAAAATCATTCCAAAAAGAACCATTTCCACCCAGATCCTCTGCACATTCCCAGGGCAGGGAGGTTTGCTGAGAGGAAACCCTGAAAGACATTACTGGTAGAGAGGGTAGGTTATCACGATGGACACAAAAAAGCCTGGGGAAGGGCTAAAGAGTACAAAGAACTCCAGAATGACCAAAGAACAGACAGCTAGGCTGTAAAGCAGAGAAAATGCCCAAAGGTCCCAAAGCTGATGGCTCAGATATAAAGCACAAAGAAATAACTGAAATTACAATCAGACAACAAATCTTGCAGAAAGTGAAAAGCCCTAATCCTGCTCTCAAAGCACTTAAAAGAAATCTAACTAAAGTTTCAAAAAAGCCCAGAACTAGCTCCACTATTCATCTTATTGACTTAGCCCCACTATCAGGCTAATATTAGAAACTAGAAGCCCGGTGCATGAAATTTATGCAAGATGCAGTCCCTAGGCCTGGCCGGTGATTGAAGTGCGAGCATCTGGTGTGGATGGGCAGGTCCCAGCTGACCTCTGGGCCCTGGGCAGCACCTGGGCCCCCGGACAGACCCCTTCCACCTGAGTCACAGTGCCCGAGTCCCCACACAGAGATGCGGTGAGCGCGACCGGACGCCATGGGCCAGGGAGTAGCATGGGCCTTTGGGCCGCCCAGAGGCGCTGCATGGAAGCCGGGTGGGCAGTGCACTCTCTCCCAACCGGCCAGACAGAACGGCTCCTGCGTGAACTCACGGGGAGCCTGACCGGCCCCTGCAATCCTGGCAGCTGTGGGCTGGCTCACCCAGAAGATGCCCCGCGGGTGCAGGGTGGGCTCCTCGCTGCCGCCTGGCACCTGAGCACAGGGGCTTCCCCGGCGCACGAGCCCTGGCGTCCCAGGGGGAAGGTAGCAGGGGGAGTGACAGTACGCTCAGCAGACACCAGCATTCTCACCACACCTCTGTTCCTATCATCCTCACCCCTGACAAGAGGTCTCAGAGTGTCCCTGACCCTCGCCATATTCCACACCACCCCCTGGTGGTCAGCGCACATCATAGTGAGCGGTTGAACTCCAGGACTCCCGGTGGAACAACCACCTGAGGGGACAATTTGCATATTAGGCTTTTATTATATAGGATGATGGCCCATTTTCTGGAAGTAAATAACATTTACTTCAATCTGTACTATTTTTATACAAATATTCAGCACACAATCAATTACAAGACAGAGAATAGCAAACCACAGTCAAAAGTTGAAATTATATGTGAGTATGCAATTATAAAACTCACAAAACTCAACATTTTATCAAATGTAAATTACAATTTAATAAAAAGTATCAGAACAAATACATTACAAAGTTCCATAATTTAAATGGATTTCTTTAAGAATTGCTCAAACCTTCAAAATGCCAATGCATACTGTAAATTTCAGAAGAGAGGAG